TAATGTCTCAAGAAAGATTAAGTAAATAATAAAATCTTATTTAAGATCGATAATGTCTCAAGAAAGATTAAGTGGTTTGGCTATATTATCGATTGAAAAAGAATTACTAGAAGAGATTGACTACACAAAAATTATTAACAACTTTGCATCTAAAAAAAATAGAAAAATAGATTTAAAATAAAAATATTTATAATTTTTTTTAAGGCCTCTAGTTTGAGTTTGGCCTTAGGCCACCATCGGGTTTGAGCCGCCCCTGGTAGGTACTAGAATAGATAGTAGAGAAATCGATTTTTTTTATTTTCTGGTAAAGATTAACGTCATTTAATTAAATTTTTCTACTTTCTTCTATATTATGCATGAATATATTGAAAAGTAGTATTTGCGCAATTCATGGATTTAATTTCTTGAATTTCATTTTGTTTTCCACATGTCTAGTCAGTATAATTCAATTCGGACGTTTTTGAATTGGTCAAATTGATATATAGTAAAGCCTTTTATTTTTCCAAAGTTTCACTTTCACTTAAATTAATTGTACATTCATGATTAATATAGAAATGGAAAATTATTTTAGAGAATATGAGTCATGGAGAGTTCCAGTCTTTCACAACTCCTACATGAAATTAATAGCAATGACTTTTCCAACTCAAGTATACTGTATGTCCATTATTTTCCACACTAACTAACTAGCTACTGTCCCTATAAATAACACCTATTTATCCTTCACCATTTCACATAAACCTCACAAGAAATTAAAATTACAATATTATGGAGAGAGTTAACAAGTTGTGTGTAGCATTTTTTGTCATCAGCATGATGATGGCAATGGCCGCGGCGCAGAGCGCTACCAACGTTAGGGCAACCTATCATTTGTACAATCCGCAGAACATAAACTGGGATTTGAGAACTGCTAGCGCTTACTGCGCTACTTGGGATGCTGACAAGCCTCTAGCGTGGCGCCAGAGGTATGGCTGGACCGCTTTTTGTGGTCCAGCTGGACCTAGGGGCCAAGCTTCATGCGGTAGATGCTTGAGGGTACGCTTAATTTTACACTATCATACTCTATAAAAGTGTTTTTCAACAATTGATGCTTATTAGATACTTTAATTTTAATGTGTCCAATGAAGTTACCCCATGTATGGTGAAGCTAAAGGGAAAATTAATCATGTGCATGTGTATTGGGTGAGCTAGTACGGGCCAGGGTCATTACATTGTTTATATATGATTAAAATTATTTTTTATATTTTAAATCTTCTGAATGAAATTCCTAATTCTCCGCTACTATACAGGTGACAAACACAGGAACAGGAACACAAGAAACAGTGAGAATAGTAGATCAATGCAGCAATGGAGGGCTTGATTTGGATGTAAACGTGTTTAACCGATTGGACACTAATGGATTGGGCTACCAGAGGGGCAACCTTAATGTTAACTATGAATTTGTCAACTGCTAAGCTTAAAAAAGTGTCATATATCATCAATAAAATAATAAACTACGATCGAGATTGATTTCATCCTATGTACTATCTCAAGTTAATAAAAGAGACTGAGCTAGCTTTTAATACTACTAGTATATGGAAGCTCTACATGTACTTTGTATACCCTTCACGATTAATGAAATAAATCTTATTGTTATTACTATGTATTTTGGATATAAAATAAATATTTTTTTCGAAACGGACTAAACGATCGGCGTAACTAAATACTGATCCAAGTGACAAATTAATGATTGACATCACTTGGTACATGTTGGCCGTAGTCATGGTCATGGCTGTCATGCTTATAAAGCAGGAGGACAATTCATCCTCAAGCTGTCTTCCACCTCCATTGTTGAAGCTTCCAATTTCTTTTAAGGTATAAAAGGGGAGAAGAAATTCTGAATCTAACATTCATCATCTGAATCCTTCTCCTCTCCAATACTAATTCATGGCAATTTCTGCAAATCTTTCCAATTATGGTACCCTTCCAACTTCTACCCCACCAGAATCACCACAAACCACCCCTCATTCCGCCAGAAAACCACCTCGTCCACCGTTACCACGACCACCACAACCACAGCCGCCGCGTCCATCGACGGTCACTAGATCCGACACGGCTACACGTCGTTCATGGCGTGTGTTTTTTGACTACACCATTATCTCTCTTCCGTATAACTATTCTGAAGCGATTATTCGGGTGAGGAGGAACCTTAATTATTTCCGTGTCAATTACGCTATGGTAATCCTTGTTATTCTATTCCTCAGCCTTGTTTACCACCCTATCTCTATGATTGTCTTTTTGGCTATTTCTGTAGCTTGGTTGTACTATTTCCGTGAAGAAGCGATTGTAATTTCGGGAACCCAATTGGATGATCGGCTTGTTTTGGTTGGGTTAGGGTTGGTTACTGTTGTTGCCTTGGCGCTTACTCATGTGGGTCTCAATGTTTTGGTTGCTTTGATTATTGGGTTTTTCGTTTTGGGAATTCATGGGGCGTTAAGGGGAACTGAGGATTTGTTTTTGGATGAGAATGAGGCTGCGGAAGGTGGGTTGCTTTCGGTTGTCAGTGAGGAACAAATCAGGCCTAGTTATAGGTAGTGGATTTTGATTTGTTGCAGTTTCAAATTATATGGGAAATTTGAAAGAACAGATTTTGTTAATTGTTCTTGGATTACATTGGGCGAAATGCGGGTACTGGAGATCTTTTGTTGATAATTTGGCTTATTTCTGGTGCTGAGTTTGGGTGAAGTAGTGGTTGGAAAGTGTAATGTGTGAAGGAACATTTCTAATTTTAGAGCAGATTTGTTGCTTGGAGGTGTCTGTCTGCCTAAAGATCGTTAAAGGTGATTCTTTTTGCCTCAACCCTGTTTTCGAGTTTAAGTAGGATAGGGGCTATGAATTCGGATTGTTACTTTGTTTTGATTATGATACAAATGAGGGTCGATCAAAGTGCTGCCACTGTACTCAAGTAAAAATTTGGCTAGTTTTTGCTGAATCTATGTATTCATTATCATTAAGTAATCTTTAGGTCAGTTTGTACAATTTTTTATTGCCTATCCGAAAGAAAAAGAGTCACATTTCTTCATTTATTTGATTCCAAGTGTTTTGTTGTTTGGATGAATAAAATCAGCAATTCTGAATGCAAAATAGCCTGATCTCTAGTTTTACCCCTCTTCTCAAGCTGTTATCTCGGCTCCTTGTTGCTTCATGTTCCCATCGTTATCCATCTTTCCATCTGTTTGAATTTCTTAGACTTCTATCTTACTGTTCATTTATGCATAGCTAGTTCGTTATCTGATCTAGTAATGTTGTACCAGTTGGCATTGTGTTTGCAGAGTTAGGTGTGTGATTTGCTGTACAATGGCTGGATTGTTTTGCCTTTTACTCTGTTTATGATATTTTTTTGTCCCTTAGCTCTCTTTCTCTTGCCCTTCTTCGTTCCCCTTGCAGCAATGCATTATAAGTAGTGTTCGTCCGTAACTATTAACACCTATCAGAGCAATTCCAATGCTGGAATTCAGCTACGAAGGCTCATGCATGACCTTCAAAGGAGTAAGGTGGATTGCTCTTTCTCATGTCTGTGTGATCACGTAGATAAAATCTGGTTGTCACGGGAGTTAGCAACTTGAACTGGATTTTTTTTGAATATGCTACTGTTTCCTTTTAGACAGCACATACTTAACAGATCCTTGTCAAAAAAATTATAGACCTGATAGCTTATAGCTGAAATCTCCAAGGCGTATACAACACACTAGGGAAATTTCTTGTTATGGTAGCATTCTCAAGTATTGTTAACCTTCTTTGTTTGTAACTTTGTATTCAAGCTAATCACGCTCGGGGGAAGCTGACTTATTACTGTTAAGAAAGAAATCAAATCCTTTTGCTGTTTATGCTAATATGACCTTGCATATGCATGTCCTATGGTCAAGGGAAGACCAAATACATATATGTTCATGTTTTTACCTGAATTACATCTGGTTTAACTTTGGTGTGTCAAAGCAAGTACCAATGTCTAGCCGCAGAAATAATTTTTTTGGTACTCCATACTGATAATATCAGTTTGGAAGAGGGAAATTTTATAAAAATTATCATCATCTGTTACGGTTTTGATCTGTACCTTAATGTCATGTTTAATTGATGTGTAATTCCTCAGAAAGAATATTTACATCATGTATACTACGTTGGTTGACATGATAAAGTATCTGCTTAGTTCTATCAAATTGAGAAACAATACTAAGAGGAAAAACTATGATATACTCAAAGTGAGATACTGAATTGAATTGAATGTTTTCCCAGAATATACTAAGATGTAGAGCCTTTATGTCCGTGTGGCTTTATCAAATCAATACTACCAGAGGTTTCGGGAGAAAATACTGTTTGAAGCGCCACCCTCGAATGAGCCTTGCAGTGCCGATCTGGATTTAGTCGGGCTCCGGACACCGGGTGGGAAACCAAAAAAAGAAAAAAGGGTTTGATATACTCAAAATTAGGTCTCTACTCTGACATAAAGGCTCTTACTTATGATTTACTGGCAAGGTGTTATGTCACTTGTCCGATTGAAGCTTTTTTTTCTTTTTATAATCTTACGTGACCATTCCGGCAGCAACCTTCCTAATTCCGGTGACTGTTCCATTCACACTTTGCTTATTTTCGGTGATCGTATTGGTGGTACTGTACTGATTTTTTTTTAATCTCTTTTAGTACTGTTCTGGTGATACCAGACCTCGTTTCCAGGACTCTCTATCAGTATCATGACTCCAGTAGCTATTTTGGTTGCCAGTGCCTTCTGACCATTTTCCCAGCAACTTGTTCGACGAATTGCAAGTTGCAGATTTTTCCAGTATCCATGATTATCTGCTTTAACATTTCTTTTGAAGTAAGTTGTAGTTTGCAGGGATGAATCGAAAAGGAAATCATCATTGGTTCTGCCTCCTATTTTCATGAAGAATGGATCTTTTTCTCTAAGGATCATTGAAGTCTTAAGTTATATATTATCTCACGTTTGACAAGTATTAAATTTGTATTTGACATCGATAAATAGGTGAGTCTTGTATTTATCGAATTATCAAGTCATCACTCTGTACATCTAAACTTTTCGCAGTTACAGTAGCTATCGTTTTTACGTTCAAGCATGTATCATACTCTCTGCTGAGTGCAAATCTTCCAGTGATCTTTAGTTTTGCACAATCAGATGTCATACTGTACAGGTTGCCAGTATTTTGTTCGACTGCAGATAGCAGAGGAATATTCACATTGTCATAACAATCAACAATCTGCTACTTGACATTAAGGTAACCTTGTTGAAATCCTGCTCCGTTTGTGTCAAGCTTCTGGAAAGTGTTAGTGTCCAAGTGAAATATAATCCCCCTGACATTACGTTGCTGTATTCCAAGACTATTTTAACTGTCGTTATAGCTCCTGTGGCTGTATTTTTACATTTAATTTTTACCTGCATAAATGTTTTCACTTGTTGCAATAATAATCTTTTGTATTGAATAGTTGTGCTATATTATTTTGCTCATCTTTACCTTTCTGTTTAGAGTGTACATAATTTTGATTTTTGATATCAAAATGACATAATTTTATCCACGACAATACTACATTTAGTTTGGTCAGTTACATCTTAAATATTTTACAGATATTTTTTTAGAAGTTCTGTACCCCAAGTATGGTCCACCACTTGGAAAAAATAAACAGGAATGAAAATAAATTTTGAAAAATTAGGCAAAAGGGAAAAGTTGAGATTAACAAAAATAGTGAGTCTATAAATTGCAGCAGAACAAATCACTAGAGAACAAAACATCAAAATGATCCATTTTTACAACTACCAAAGAAAAGGGCAAAAGAAGTGGCTACTTGGTTCTGTCATTATGTGCTTTCTAACTCTTGTATGACACAACTTAATTCTAGTTCCATGTCATGAATTTCTTTAGCAGCCTCAGCATCCCTTTCAGCAACAGTACCCCTGCAATCATATAGAAACTACTGCATTAGAGTACGGTTCTTCGATGCTAGAGAAATATATCATCTGCAGTTGCTAAACAAACAACTTCCAAGTCTCAACAAGCATACTGTAAAGCAGTTATGAGCTCATCATTAGGGTCGATCTGGATGCCCCTATAGAAAGCATTGGCTGCCTCTTCAAACCTCTGAGAAGGAAATATTAGAATATCAGAACATATAGGTATATAAGTTGGCAAAATTTGATTCCAGGAGAGGAAGGGGGAGCATGCCTGCAATAGACGTATAGCTGCACCTTCCCGATAATAAGCCTTTGCCAAATCTTGTCCAAGTTTTTTGCAGGCCTTGGCATCAGTTAAGGCAGATTCACCTTGCCCCAGGTGGAACCAACAATCACTTCTATTGGAAAACAGAGTGCCATCAGTTGGATCAGAACTGATTGCCTGCAGAGTATCAGCAAACACAAGTGAGCTCAGTAAGTAATGCATACACATTATTAATTACTTGCAACATGAAGAGGATGACTACTTCATCTCATCATTATCTTCTTTCTTTTTCCCTTTTGCAGGTATTTTACTGGGGAAGGGTTAGTGTTGGGTATACAGGAAGAATTCAATAAGCCCAATAGGTACTAGCGTATAAGCATCTCTAGCCGCAGCAAAATCCTTCCTGTCAAATGCCTCGTCTCCCTTAGCCTTTGCATCTGCAGCTTTCTTCTTTGCTTCAGGACTCACCTATAAACGACTCAATTATGCCGATTCAAGATATTTAGCACTATTCCGTAAACAGGTTTGTCCAACAACATACAACTGAATCACAGAGTATAAAAAGATATTGATCTTCAGTGCAATTTGAAGTAGCTGAAACGGGAGTCTGGAACCACATCGCTGGTATGATTTCACGACTATAAAAGAAGTTAAAGCATTTTGAAGCCCTAGTCATTGAACCGTAAGCAAACATTGTTTATTGGACTTCTTGAAGACATTAATTTCATGCCCCCAGATGCAGTGTTTATTATGTTATTTGCTACATATACTTTGCACATGCAAAATCAATTTGTTGTCTACATGTTTCACAGATGTATTATCATATTCCAATCTGTCTTCAAGAGTGCTTAACCAGAACAAAAGATAATATATACACAAGGAAAAAATATACTCACTTTGTTACATTTTCAGAAATGGTTTATTTTTGTGCCAGAACTACCATTTACTTAGAGGTGGCAATCCAATCCAATCCATATAAATATGGGTAAAATCCAAGTAAATTGAAATGATTCAAAATTCACACATAAAATCGAAAACAGTGAACACTAATAACAGACCTCCGGTAAAAATTTCTTAGGGCGATTGTTTGCTTGCCTCCCAGCTTATGTTATTCCCTGCTATTATCACAGTTTAGACAATGAAAACGAAGCAGAAATTTGCAGGAGAGAAGGAAAGGAAATAGTCACCGACTTAGCCAGTACCAATATATAAATAGCAACTCTAAGTTCAAACAGAAGACCAAACCCAGCAGCGATCATCTTCTTACAGAAAGACAAATTAAGTACCTGTTTTCTCAATTTTTCAGATAGTCCATTCGCGAACACCCGGAGTCTCTAATGTGACGGCCAATAAAGCTTCAACTGACTCCCGACTGTCACTTCTAGCTGCAAGATGTATTGGCATGTGACCATCCTGTAGAGATGGCAAAAGTTATTTTTCGATATCAATTAACCATCCTCAGAAATTGCTAATTGACTTTTTTTCCACGACTTGGCTCAGAAATTAACAAAGATACTAAAACATTGGAGAATGTGCAAGTATTGAACTAACTCAGTCGGGTTTGCTTTTCTAATACAACAACAAATTTATGTTACATATTCTTTGAAAAATATTTGTTTCATAAATACATACTCAGAATATATTTTTTTTACAATATGGAGTAATTATTAAGTCAAAATAGAATTATTTCTCTCAACATAATTATGAACCAGTGACCCATAAGATTATTAGTTCTCACCCTAGGTCCAGGTTTAAGAACATATCTTTAACATCAATAATCCCCTGGCAAAGATGACTAAGGTACCTAGATTCTACAAGGGATCTGCATTCCCAAACCGAACTATGCATGTCAAACCTGAAAAACAATAATAGGAAAGTGATAATAAGGAATATGATTCACGTGCTTGCAGATAAACAGAACACACGAAAATAAAACTTAAAATTGTTTGGAATCATCTTTCCAACAATTGAAAGAAGAAAAATTCCTTGGAAATTTCTTCCAAAATATATTCAAACAAAGAAATTAGATTTTCTTTTCAATTACCTGATCAGTGAAATTAGGATCAGCTCCAGCTTGTAGTAAGCATTTAACACTTTCTGCATTACCTTTACGAGCAGCAACGAGCAAAGGAGTTATTTCACCGCACCACATTCCTTCACCAGCCTTAACATTGACATTAGCCCCTGCCTGGTAGCACAAAAGAAGTTAAGCCTTAAGTAGACAGATGGCACGCTTAACCAAGTAACATTGCAAAATGGAAAAATTGAAAAAGACAGTTCTCATAAGCTAAGTTGCTCGGACTATGTTGGCGAAGGTGTGACTACGTCGGCAAAGGTAGTTGAGTTCTTGCTTTGGATTGTGCCATGAAAAGTAAGATGCACAAAATTCATAATCCTATGTAGTCAAGAAGTTTTTTCAGTTTAATGTATAATATGTTGGAAAAATGATTCTAGTATTTCAAAAGAAAATATTCATATCATTGTCTAGATTAATTCTTGATATCTTGTTAATGGCTTTTAATATATTTATTGTGATTGAATACCTCATTAATCAATTTATTCTCCTCATATTAGCCTTGAATATAATTAAAGGCCTTCATCATATCTTGATTCTTTGGCCTCTTCATTCTCATTAATTCCATAGACGTTTCAGCCACCAAATGACTATTATTGTCTTTGTCCGTTTACCACCATTTAGGGTGACAAATGGTTTGACCACTGATTTAATTACATTAATCCTTCTCACTAACTGTTGGAGGAGGCTTTAGCCTCATGTGTTTTTCCCTATAAATTTAATCTTCCCTTCCATCACAAAGGATGATGAGATGAATATATATCTAAGAGAAATCTTTCATTCTACATTCTATTAAAAGAATCTTTGTTAGTTTCTGGGTCCTAATTTTATACTAGAAGAACTTGTTGAATCTTGGGACACACCTATATCAAGTGAACTATCTTGAAGGACAGTGTCTGACATGCCTCAAGCTTTGATGAATTTCATACAACAATTTGTGGTGAAGGTATTTTCCGTTAGTTTTCCAACATAATATTGGGCTTAACCAGTCATAAAGCTCCTAAAGCAAAGCCTCTCCTACACCTCAGAAGCACAAAAAGAGAAAATTGAAAGATAATCAATGAAATAAATGCAACATGGAGGATGACACTTGCAGAGAGCTCCAATGGAGTGGCCTGAGTAATTACAACGGGCTACTGCCCATGCTAGAGGAAGGAGCAGTTTTACAGAAGTTAATAGTATGACATTTGCAGTTTGTGTGTACCAAATTTGGCCTGAAAGAAACTATAGGATCTTCCAGCAACAAAAGAAAGTAACTGGGAAGCTAACTAGACAAATTATCCAGGTGGTGTGTACTATAAGGGGCATAACGAAGAGCAGACTAGCACAAAAACTCGAGCAGCTAAACTTCTATCCATAGAGGATTTTTTTTTTTTGGTATTATAGGCTAGTCAACAGTAGCAAGTTTTGTGGTCTGGTAGCTGGTAGTTAATAGGCTGTAATGGGGTTGTCCATTTCAGATTTTTTTGATACTTTTATATAACTCTTACTTGGTTGATAAAATTGTGTTTTATTACCCAAAAAAATAAAATTGAGAGTTTCAGAAAAGCTGTAATAGAATCAAGTCCACATGGCTCCCGTATGATCAGAGCAGTTTCTTGTGATTTGATCTAGCACAAATTTTGCATGGTTCCAAAACATAGCAAAGGCAGAATGATAATGCATCAAACAACAGCACCACATGTTTTCTGCAACACAACTTCTTGGGGATGCTCAATTGGATTCAGCAATTTAAAGTACATATAGATAAAGAGTAGAACGATCTAATGAATATATAAAGTTTTAAGGAGAAAATGGAATTTTATCAACCTTTACTAACAGTTCCACGCAAGGAAAAGAATCGGCTGCCACAGCTACTTACAGAGGAGATATATTATCATCTCCTACTTGATTAAACTGCACAAAGTAACTTTTTTAGACCCATATGAACAAATAGAAATAACACGTTGTAAAAGAGTATCTTCAACCCACCCCCACCCCCTTCTGCAAACCCATCCTCAACAGTAGAGAAGAATGCATCAAAATGAGAAAAAGTACAACCCAGGAAGACTTGATTTTTTCCACATATTATCAAAATGTGCCCTCTCTAACGAGTAAGAAATGCAAATCGGGTGCTGTATGCAAAAAAAGCTGGGAAAAATATCTTAAGTTGAATAACCAATCAAAAGTTAATTTATATACTATATCTAAGCTAACTTCTTTTTCGCAACACAAACACTAACAAACAACTATGTGAAACTGAAAAGCATGAAGAAAATAGTGAAGTCAATACTTATCAAAAACAGGAAAAGAAAGATGGAAGGGGGGTGAGAAAAGAAGCCTGTACAGGCTGGGAGAGAGAACTCTACACTGTTTGGCAAAGGGAAGAAAGTACATAAAACAAGAGTTTGAATACATCAGCGCAAGAAAAGTGTGTAAGAACTTGTTTGGTTGTGGAACCACTTCAGCTAAAAGGCAAAAGCTTAAGTTGCTAGATAGGAGATACTTGTATCATTATCAACACGCCTCCTCACACGTGGCCCGACTCTTTTTGTCTTTTGAGAGGAGGGGGAGGGGAGGGGTGGGGTGAATTTATTTTCGATAAGGATGATGGTGATGATTGAAAACAATGTCTCTCCCTGTTATGAAACAACGATTAACTGAGTAACCCGCTAGGAAGCTTTAAGTCATTAGATAGGGAACACTTAAACCATACAACTGCTTTCCACTTTGTCTAGAGAGAATTGTTAAACAATGACTGGTAGTTTTGATTCGAGAAAAGAGGGGTTTAACAGGTAACAAAGCACTCACATTAGCATGATGTTCCAGCAAAGCCTTAACAACGCCTTCCTGGATGTGATCTACAGCCCACATAAGTGGTGTTCCAACATCACTTTTCAAATCAATGTCTACACCCATCGACAGAAACAATTCAACCAATTCAATATGTCCTGCAGACAAAGATAATGAACAATAAAATGTCATTCTATGTAAAGAAGGATGATAAATAGAAGAATGCATGTAGCTACACACATAAGTGTATGCAGGACACCACTATAAATAACAATATAGCAATAAGGCATGATATGTTGATTGATTTCTCTCATTGTTTTACCAATAGAGAATTAAAAGCTGACACTAAGATCTCAACTACTGATATCCATTAGAACATGATTAGATTCTCAATTCAGATTATGTGGCAACAAAGGAAAATAAACCTGCAAATATATTTTCACTTGTGGTGTTTCTTTCATGTGCTTATGTTCATGATACCCCATTCACATTCATACTACTTAGAAGAGTAAGGCACTCAGAATGAAGTAGCTATGGAAGTACTCTAATGAAAAACAAAATTTATGGGGCACTGCCCTTCAAAACATTTAGCTTTCCTTTCTTTCCATATGGCCCACCACAAATGCATGTCGGGATGGTCTTCCACCATTCTTTTATCATCGAGTTAAGATGGATCTTCTTCGTATTCATGATACGCTTTTATCAGTAGAGACAAACAAAAAAATGAGACACAGAAGTTTTGACTACATTCTAACTTGAATGAAAATCAGTCAGCTTCCTTACTACATTTTCATTGACATTAAATCCTGCATAAATTACAATATCAGAATACATATTTGCGTTACAGTTCTTTGAAGCTCTAGTAATCTAGGGTCATTTCAAGTCATTGATTGAGAAAAGAAAGATGTAGCATTGTCAGAAAGAAAGGAAAGAAAAGGTGAATGAAGCGAGAAAGACCAAATGTTCAGGGAATCTAAGTCTCTACAAATTTAGTTTACAAGTTAGCATAACATTTCCAGGAAAACAGAAGCCAAAGTTAGGTTTTCAACAGCTGAAAATAGAAAAGTGACCTGAAAACTATGCAGCAAATAGAAAACAGACCCCATCCCACCCTATCCATCTCTGCTTCTTTCTGCTAATTATAACCTTATTTGGTTACCTTTTCTGCGTTTATTTGCTTAAGATAAGAACTTTGACCAATTCATCATGGTTTTAGTTCTTACTCTCCAAAACTTGCTCAAATCACAAATTCCGCAGATTCTAGTGGATTTCATGTTGTTTACCGTCGCAAAACCATTTTGAAGTCCACTTTTGGAGAACTGTAGAAGAGAAACCATTAAGAACCTTCTTTATAGCACATTGCATGAATATAATATCCAAGTCTTGAGGCATTGCCTTTCGAGAGTTAATGTTGGTCTCTTCCTCCCTTGATTTGCTTAGGTTTTACAACAGCCCTCAGATAGTCTGCTGGACCTTTTGATCAGTTCTTCCATTTTCTCCTCACAATGAATGGCAAAAAGCCAGAGAGCTTAGCCCCAATATATATATGTTTTTTCCTAAACTGTACAAGAGCTACAAGGTTACAGCAATTAAATGCATATGAACCCAGGACTCTTTCCCTGACACAATTAGAAGCTTCAATCACTTCTACTAACGAAGAGGAAAAACCTACCATTTCTTGCAGCATTATGCAAAGCTGCCCCTGAGGTGCTGAGTATTGCAGGATCTGCACCCTTATATATGAGGTATTGGACAGTAGCAGTGTGTCCGTGCCTAGCAGCAGTCTCACCTATGAAGAAATAATATATATTAAGAGCAATATCACTTTCAGCACATATCAATCAATCAAGAAGAGCTTCAATCTCAAACAAGTTGGAATCAGTAATATGAATCCTCCATATATTCCGCTGTATTTGAGTCTACCATTCCCATATATTGTTGTTAGGTATCTTCGTATCTTACAAAATATATTGAAAAACTAAACATAAATAAAAAACAGTTTCCAATACAAAATATACTTCCAACTCACCAATTATTAGAAAACAATATAGTACTAGGCATCTTACCCTCAATACTTTAATGCGGCAAAGATATAAAGAACCCCTCAAGTTTCAATCTCAACAGCCAATTTCTTACTAAACAAGAACTCAATGATGAATGAAAGACAAATTTATTACTCTGTAGAGAATACGTTCTTTATCTCTTTCATTGACATCAATCTTCAAATCTTCCACCAAGTACTTGCACAAGTCAAATTTTCCTTCCCCAGCGGCAAAGAACAATGACCCTCTTTTCTTAGCATCCTTTACATCTGCCACCGTAGCGGCCAACCCTTTCCCATCATGATCTAGTTCCTTTGCCAATTCTGTTTCACAATCATCAACTAAAGACCCCAAAATAATAAAACAGGAAAATAGTGTTTTCAATTGAAAAACCTACTCTTGAAAAGCTCAACATCCCCTGAACAAGCAGACTCCAGAAACGTCATAACCTGTTTTTGAGCTGCTCAAAACAATTTCAAGATTCAATAACATTACAGTATTTGAAGAAAGGAAAAAGTAGTGGAAGAATGAATCAAAACCTTCAGTAAGAGGAGCAGGTTTTGGTATTCCATTTCCATAACTGAAGAAAGAAAGAAGATTTTTTTGGGGTTTCTGCAGAAACTTGTGCTCTTTATACACTAACTAACTGAAACAGAAGGGAAAAAACGGAGCAACGGTTTTGCAGTTTGTTTGTTGACAAAAACTTGCCGAGCTTCGGAAAAAGCGTTAAAATTCAAATTTTAAGGGAACGTAGGAGAGAGTATAATTTTACACAATATAAATGTTGAGAATAATATGTGTACAAATAAATACATATCTCAATTTACAAAAATATCAAACGACCTCCACATTATCTTTAGATAAAATCATGTCCTCTGTAATCTGAAGATGAAATATATCTTGTCTAAAGTACCTCTACTTGATACTTATTCAGCCTATCTTTGTCTCTCCTTATCCCCACTATATCAAACCTCTCAACACCTCCTCACTGAGACATTTGCACAACTCAGATTCACATGTAATCTAAAAATGCGGGGCGAATTAATTTATTATTATTTTTTTTGGAAATTTTTTTTTGCAAGTTGCGGGGCGGGTGCGAATACTTTTCTAAAAGGTCCAACCTTTTTTTATTCAAAAACGTGTAAAGTTACTTTTGAGTTCTCATTGTTGTTAATAGAACTACTTATATGAGAAATTGGTTTTGTTCTTATTTATTTATTCGCTCATCCTTTCATTATATATCTATATATGATTTCTCCTTTTTTAACTTTCATAAATAAAATTAAGAAAATGCATAACCCCAAGCATGCAAAAAAAAAAACAGAATGAAATAAATTTTGAAAAATAACGCAGAAGGGAAAAGTTGAGATTAACAAAAACAGTGAGTATAGATTGCTGAAGATGCAACAGAACAAATCACTAGAGGGCAAAACATCAAAATGTTCTTCCTACAGAATTGAATGTGCTTTCTAACTTATTCTTGTTCTGTGCCATGAAATTCTCTACCAGCCTCAATAGCTTCCCTGCAATCATATTAGTACCTCACAACAATGAGAAAAACTTGGATACAGAAACAGAAGAGTTTCAAGTCTCAACATGCATACCTGAAAGCAGTTACGAGCTCCTTATTTTCAGGGTCGATCTGTATGCCCTCATAAAAAGCATTGGCTGCGTCTTTAAACCTCTGAAAATGAAATATTAGAATATCAGAAAATATAGGTATACATATATACAAGTTTGCAAAATTTGACTCCAGGGAGAGAAGGGCATGCCTGCAATAGACGTAGAGCTGCACCATGCCGATAATAACCTTTTGCCCAATCTGGTCTAAGTTCTCTGCAAGCCTTAGCATCAACCAAGGCAGATTCACCTTGCCCCAGGCGGAGCCAACAAAGACTTCTATTCGAAAACAGAGTGCCATCAGTTGGATCAAAATTGATTGCCTGCAGAGTATCAGCAAACACAAGTGAGCTGTGACCATCTCATCTAAAAGCTTAAGTTATAAGAGAGAGCACACTTTATTCTCAACACGCCCCCTCACGTGCGGGCCTGATTTTTTTTCATGGGCAATCATGTGGAAATTCTTTTTTGATTTGGGTGGTGGTGAGATTCGATCTCAGGACCTTTGTATGTTCTGATACCATGTTGAAGTGTATGACCATCTTATATAAAAGCTTAAGCTATTAGCTAGAGCACACTTTTAATATTTAGTTATATTCTCAACAAAGACATATACTTGCACCAAGAAGAGGATAATTACTGGGGAAACATTCAGGAGAAATCCAATAAGCTTAATAGGTACCTGTGCATAAGCATTTATAGCCCTAGGAAAATCATTCCTCTTAAATGCCTGGTCTCCCTTCGCCTTTGCGTCTGCAGCTTTCTTCTTTGCTTCAGGAGTCACCTACAAATCAATCAATTATGCCAATGCAAGATGTTTAGCACTAACCGGTAAACTGTTTTCTACAACACAAGGTTCTGAGGTACTTCAAATGAAAGAGATGCATACAAGTAATAACAAAGAGTATAAAAAGATATTGATACTGTGTGCAATTTGAAGGCAGCTGAAACAGGAGTCTAGAACCACATCGCTGGTATAATTTCACGACTATAAGAGAAACTTTATGCATTTTGATGCCCTAGGATCACTGGGTCAGTACTGTAATCAAACGTGGAACTGTTCCGACAACATTGGTCATTGGACTTCTTGAAGACATTAATTTCATGCCCCAAGATGCAGTGTTTATTATGTTATTTACTACATATACTTGCACATGCAAATTCAATTTTGTTGTTTACATGTTTCACATATGTATTATCATATTCACAAGGAGAGATTTCCAATCTGTCGACAAGAGTGCTTAACCAGAAAAAATGCAAGAACAAAAGATAATATATACACAAGTAAAATATATACTCACTTTGTTCCATTTTCAGAAATGGTTTACTTTAGTGCCATAGCTACCCTTAACTTAGAGGTGGCAAATTGGATATGGATTTGAGCAAAAATGGATTGGATTGCAATCCATCCATTAAATATGGGTAAAATATGGCTTGAATAAAAGGGTTTTAACCCACTTTAATATCCTAAAGCCAATGTATAAATTTCATCGGCACAATGTAAAAAAACAAAAATTCACACCTTAAAGAATCTTGCAGATTTTTTCAACCTCAAAGAGCAAGAAATAATATAAAAGAGGTTAAAAAAGAAAAGAAAAGAAATCCAAGATCCCCACCCCACCCCCTTCCACACCCCACACACACCAAAACCCAATAAGGAATTAAAAAAAGAGAAAAGAAAGCATATAAATGAAAAACACTATGCTCTGTCTTGCAAGTTTTAACAATGGAGATAATCTTTCAGCAAACCAGACTCCACTGCCATTCTTCACAAATCTATACATATTAAGTTTTGAACTTATATGTTAAAAGAAAAAAACAGAATCTAGAACTCATCCAATTAAAATTTTGAATCCGTCTGTGCTATTCTAAACTTCTTTCTTTCTTATGGAGACTACAAAGATCCAAAACTATTCCATATATGTTGGTTTCCACCAAGCTTTAAATTTAGCTAATTGTTAGCTATCAAATTAGAGAATGAAATCAGGCTGTTGTTGTTATTGGATACCTGCAGTTCAATCAAATTCCTTTTCATTTCGGGAAAAAAAAAAGCCTATCAAGCTCATATTAAAGCCAAACTATTTAGTATTCCTACATATAAAGGAGTGATTTTGCATATTAACCAAACAAATGTTAGTAAATACATGCACGATAACCAACAACAACAACACAGCCTCCCCTTCCGTATCATAATTTACTTATCATTTTACTTAAGTATTTAAGATTTTAAAAAAGGGAAGGAAAAAAAAAAGATTTTTCTGCTTCTTCATCTCATTATTTGTAATGAGGCTTCTAGTATTATATTTTTTGCCTTTATTCACTCAAGCAGCAGCAACTGTGCCTCTGGAGAAATGGTAACTTTTGGGAGAGGTACTGGTCTTTGGCCTGGTCCTTTTCTCTGCAGGCCGAGGGACCTGTTATTGTGTTATTGGATCTATATGGATACCCATTTTGTCCATATTTTTATGGATTTTTAAAGTAGGCTAAAACCCATATTTACCCAATTAAAGTATAAATCTGGGTTAAATGAATTGATCTCATTAATATGGGCTGAAATTGCCAGCACTATCCTTACTATAGAAGCTTATTCATTTCTGTTAGATGATTACTATCACAAGGATAAAACTAGCAAAACCTGTGATGATATTCCACTTTCTTGACATTATACAAAAAGGCAAATTTAAAATAATACAACAGAAGGAGACAGTTAATACTTTTCACGTACAAATTGATAACAAATTGAAAACAGTGATCACCAATAACAGACCTCAGGCAAATCTTTCTTTGGAATAATACGTTCTTGCTTCAAGCCCTTGAATTCATCCTCCAGCCTCGTAAGTAGACATCTTAGATTAGCGCCATAGTTTGCTTCCTCCCCAGCTTCTGTACTTTCCTGCTATTATCACAGTTTAGACAATGAAAAGGATGCAGAAGTTTGCAGGAGAGAAGGAAAGGAAATAGTCGCTGACCTAGCCAGTACCAATATTTAAAACCAACTCTGAGTTCAGGCAGCAGACCAAAACCAGCAGCGATTTATCTTACAGAAAGACAAATTAAGTACCTGTTTTCTCCTATAATCAGATTGCATAAACTCAATGACTCCATCCACACTCCATTCAGGAACACTCTGAATCTGTGGTGTGACGGCCAATAAAGCTTCAACAGCTGCCCGATTGCCTCTTGTAGCTGCAACATGTATTGGCTTATTACCATCCTGTAGAGATAGCAAAAGTTAAATTTCGGTATGAATTACCAGTCCTCAGAAATTGCTAATTGATTTTTTATTTCCAGCGACCTTGCTCAGAAATTAACAAAGTTCATGATTGAAGTTCTGAATACCAGGGAACCCATACAAATGTATGTTAAGTACAGACACTGGGTCGCTTATTTAGATCAGAATGAATCAGATATTACTATATTAAAGATACAGTAGACCAGGACAAAAAGAAGACTCCCAGGTCCCATAAAGTCATATCTGTAGAGGTATCACACATAATACACCAGCTCTTACATCTATAGATGTTGGTTCTCACTGGAATGCAGAAGGCATGAGACAATTGAGCATAAGACTTCAGCAAACAGTAATCTATAAGAAAGCTTGACAGACATATTACAGAATGCAGCAAAGCAAAGCACTATCTGCACTTTCTTCAGCTAAATTATCTGAACCCCAGATCGGACCAGCTGGATCTGTCACAACCCCAAAGAAACAGGTCTCAGTTTACCTCTAAACCTGTCTGAAATGTTATTTCAACCACGAGAGAGAAAAGTATCACTTTAATTCAGCCCAAATATCTTAGTAAACCCTTTGGCAAAAATGAATCTGAAAGAGAAGAACACTACTGGAAAACTCAGATCTCCCGGGAGAGGAAGTATCACTATTTTTCTTGTTATTCATCTTTCCTTTTCAAATATTTCAGTCACGAAACTGAAATACATTACAAGATTACCATTGAGGAGAAAATTCTGTTGTTGTCTGTCAAAGTAATTTATAAAATGAATCTGAAACAAAGAGAACACTGTTGGAAAACTCAGATCTGCCGAAAACAGTGCAACGATTGCCGGAAAGTGCTCGAAATCTGGTATAAAATATACAAATCGTTTTGAAATCAAGAAAGGAGTAGACCCTTGAACAAGAAAGCCGCCAAAAAACTGGCCAGATCAGGCTTGCACGCCGGTTATGGTTTGGTTGCAGGGAGACATTGTACCTCTTAGTGTTGGTTTCCGCACAACACAAATGAAAAGTGAAACTACCATCTGCAGAGTCACCGAAAGGACACAGAATTATGCAAATTAGATCTGATGAGTCACCATAAAGAGTCAAAGACGCACGGTGCTACACAACTCAGTTATGAGAAAGTAGTTTAGAAAGATGCACGACACTACGCGAATCAGATATGAGATATCAGTTAGCGGAAAGATTCACGATGCTATGCAATTTAGATATGAGAAAGTAGTCACTGAAAAGATGCACGGTGCTACGCAAATCGGATATGAGAAAGTAGTCATCGAAGAGATGCACGGTGCTACACAAATCAAATCTAAGCAGCCACTGAGAAGAAGCACGGTGACTACTTTCTTTGTCCCGAATGCTTCTCAAGTTAGTCCTTCTCAGCATGATTTTTCTTCATGCATATAGTATTGCCCCAACTTTTGCTAAAATAATCATTGGCTAGACGGGCAACATGTATGGGTTATAGCTATCCACCAGCAGCGGAAGCTTTTTTATTCTCTAACAATATCGTAGAAGCTCTGATACCATGTGGAAATATAGGAGAAAAATATTATTGAATTGCATCTCTATATCATTACACTGAGATCCTATTAATAGATACTATATTACAATTTTATCAAAGTCGGATTCTATATACTATTCATGTTCCTATTCATATTCTAACGTTTACAATTTCTTATAGAAGGTAGTTAAGAAACCACAATTTGTAAAATACGTAGACCCTAATCTTGGTTTTATTTGTTTTCTGATTGACACTCCCCTTTTCAACCAAATATTTCTTCTTTGTGCCAGATCTCTCATGCATACCTTCAAAATGAGCTCCAATCTCCTGTTATACTACACGATGAAGGATCATAAGTTGTGGGTGAGACATCTTCTCATTACTCAAATTTGTATTAGCATCTGTTAGTTGATTTACATACCTAAATTTGATCCATATTCTATGAAAAGACACTACATTGGAGAATGTGCTAGTATTGAAGTCAAATATTTTTCTCAACATAATTATGTTGGGATTAGTTATGATGGGATAAGTTATAATGGGTATAGTTATGCTAAGATTATTTTTTATTGGTTGTTTGGTTTGTCATATTCAAATTATATACATGGCATAATTTCTAAGAATAACCTATTTGTTACAAAAATACCCTCCATTTTATTTAGTTTTTTATACTTTCTTTGCAAGCTTTAATTATTCACTCTTAAACAAAAAAAAATCATCTTATTTATCTTAAATGTTTTCTGTGTGCGCATTCTCATAATTATGCCATGTGTTTTTAAACATAAAACATCCATCTTATTTAGCTTAAAAATAAAACTTTTATCTTAAGTTTGTTAAAGTAAAAAAGATTTAATTGTTGATGTCACTTCATTTAAGCACATATCACTCATACATAGTAAAATAACCATTATCTTCATTTTAATTGATATATAAAATACAAATTTTCAAGTGATTAAAAGATTATTTAATTAAAAATATGTAATTCAATAGTGGAGTGAACTTTTTAAGAGAAATCAAAATGTAAATAAACATAAGAATTAGTCAAATAAATTAACTTCTAATATATTCATAAAATACAAATTATATTTATATAGTGTAATTTTTTAATGAAAAAATATATAATCATAAAAATAACAAGTAGTGAAGGTTGTGAATGTTATTATTAATGGTATTAAAAATTATTTGAATATACGTGTATGTAAAAGTGATGTATAAATGAGGGTGTATATGGGGGGAGTTTTTGTTATTTCACATTTTTACCCCGGATAAGTTATCCCGGGATAGTATTCCACCCACAATTAGGGAATTAATCCTGGGATAAGTTATCCCACACTTCTTCTTTTTTTTTTATGACAAGTTTAACCCACAGCCGCTACCCTTTGGTGCGCACAGGGTAAAACTCCCGCTCCTATGCAATAGCTCGCAAACCACATAGGAGAGGTAACCCGCACTAGGCAAGCCTGGTGCGATGAGCTCGACCCAAAAGGCAAACCCCTTGCTTTCGCTGGCAAGGGGTTTCGAACTTGAGACCTCCAACATGGAAGTCCCAAGCTCAAACCACTGGGCCACCCCGAAGGGTCAAGTTATCCCACACTTCATAACCAAACAAAGAATTAAGGGGTACTAAAAACTTATCCCGGGATTGTTTTTCCTTGTCCATCACACCAAACGACCCCTTTGATTATTAGTTCTCACTCTAGGTTCAGGTTTAAGAACATATTCCCAAACCGAACTATGCATGTCAAATCTGAAAAGTGGGAAGTAGACTAGAAAGTGACAGTAAGGAATACGATTCACATGTGCTTGCAGATAAACAAAACACACGAAAATAAAACTTAAAATTGCTTGGAATCATCTTCCAACAATAAAAAGAAAAAGGATACCTTGGAAATTTCTTCCAAAATATATTGAAACAACAAAGAATTTATATTTTGTTAGATTTTCTTCTCAATTACCTCATCAGCAGCATTAGGATCAGCTCCAGCTTGTAGTAAGCAGTTAACAATTTCTGCATTACCATTATGAGCAGCAATGAGCAAAGGAGTTGTTTCACCATACCTTGTTGCTTCACCAGTCTTAACATTGACATTAGCCCCTGCCTGGTAACACAAAAGAAGTTGAGCCTTAAGTAGACGGATGCCACGCTTAACCAAGCAACATTGCAAAATACAAAGCAAAATGGAAAAATTGAAAAAGACAATTCTTATAAGTGAAATAGGTGTTTGTATTCCCGCAAACAACAACACTTCGAATTTGGTGTGGCATATGTAAAAATTGCTTCAGTAGATATAATTTTATTTTTCTACCAATAAACCATCTTTGAATATGTAAGCAATGTTTTCTCCAGCAGGTAAAGGATGCCTTACTTAATAGACCATCTTGGATTTAAGTTTTCATTTCGACAAACCATGCTCAAAGAAGGATACATAAGAACCAAATGTGCTACTGTGCAAGGTGTACTCTGTATTTACAATAGAGTTTAAAAGTAGAACATATAACTTCAGATGGAATGAATTATAGAATGAAAAAGGAAGATCAAAGAAGAGCTGATAAACATACATTCATGGGAACAACACGATCACATATTAACAAGCCATTTAACAAGGGAATGACAACTACAACAAGCAGCAGCACAAGGGAAATGAACTTCTGGATATGTTTCCTAGTGTGCCAAACAATAGGTAACCAACAGGCGAGACTCCACAGACTCCTCTCTTTGCAAGTATAACCCTACATACTTTGAATTCCATTCACTTCTCATTTCATGGAACATTTCTTTTGGGCTAATATCACATCACTTTTAATCACTTCTTAAAGTTTGATTTTAGTCCCGATGATATTTGAGTAAGCACATTTTTTAAGCAAAAATAAATAAGCACATTAAACATTCATTTAGCTGAATTGTGCTAGTCAATAGTAGCAAGTTTTGTAGTCTGATAGCTGGTAGTTAATATGTTGTAATGGGGTTGTCCATTTCAGCTTTTTTTGATACTTGTACATAACTCACTCTTGGTTAATAAAATTTTGTTTTATTACCAAAAACAAATAAAATTGAGAGTTTCAGGAAAGGTGTATTAGAATCAAGTTTCACATGGCTCCCGTATGATCAAAGCAGTTTCTTGTGATTTGATCTAGCACAAATTTTGCATGGTTCCAACACATAGCAAAGTGCAGAATGATAATGCATCAAACAACAGCACCACATGGTTTCTGCAACACAACTTCTTGGAGATACTCAATTGGATTCAGCAATTTAAAGAACATATAGATAGACTAGAACGATCTAACAAATATATACAGTTTTAAGGAGAAAATAGAATTTTATTGACCTTTACTAACAGCTCCACGCAAGGCAATGAATTGGCTGCCACAGCTGATCCCAGAGGACACATATTATCATCTCCTGTTTGAGCATCAAACTGCACAAAGTAACTTTCTTTAGACCATACGAACAAATAGAAATAACACTTTCTAAAAGAGTATCTTCACCCCCACCCCCCCCCCC